CCCATGCCCCCTGACAAGCAGGTGCAACCGTCACGGTGCACGTCCCCTCGATGTCAATCCCCCATCATTACTCCAATCCCTTGATTACCACACTAAACCCACTCCCAATAAAGCACTCTCTCTAAACTAGCAACCTCCCCTCTCTCATCTTCATTCTTCAGAAAACCAAGAAACCACAATCCCTTCCATAACCATGACTAATTTACTTGTTGCTTACTCAAATGACGACAGCTTGTCTGATAGTGCATCTCTTAAGGGGGAAGAAAACCAAGTTGTTGATGGTGTGCCCGATCTTGGGGACGAAACCCAACTCCCAACCACATCTTCATCACCACCACCAAAAACCTCATCACCACCACCACCAACTCCATCACCACCACCAAAAGCTCCATCACCACCACCAAAAGCTCCATCGCCACCACCAAAAACTCCATCTCCACCACCAAAAGCTACATTTCCACCACCACAAGTAACCCCCTCATCATCACCAGTTAAAGGAGCATCGTCACCTGTCGTTACTGACTCCCCATCACCACCCATCATCGAATCTTCCCCATCACCAGTCCAAGAAACTCCAGCATCACCGGCCCACAAACCCTACTTTCACCAAACCCAACATCTCCCACAACCACTGTCCCAACCATCCCCCCTTCTTCACCATCTCACCAAACTACTCCTCAAAACCCACCACCTTCTCACACCCATGATGATATTTTTTTGAGTTCCCTTCACCCTACAAAACCACGGCGACCAAGAAAGCATATTGCCGTCAAACAGGCTCGTCCACACAGGCCAGTAACAAGGAGTGCGCATGCGGTCAAGCTAGCTGCTGATACAACATCTGGGGTGAAGCGTCGACGTTTGGGTAAGTCTCCTGTCCCTTCATCAGTCTCTCCAATGGATCTTGCTTCTGATACTGATGCTCTGTCTGAGGGAAAAAATTTTGCAACCCCTCAATCCAAAACAAAATCTGCGAAAAGAAATGCAGATAAATTTCTAAAAGTGGGAAGGAAAAAGTACTTCCAAACCAAATCAGTGCTTAGGGGTAGAATCTTTCATCCTGATATACTGTCAATGGATTTAGTGAAGCAGGTCTGTGAACTTCTAAAGTTTCAAGGGTGGGAGGAGTTATTTCTAGAACCTAGTTTGATTTATGAAAAGGAAGTGGTCGATTTCTATACAAATTTGGTAATCTTAGAAGGAGATGTGGTGTCGTCTAGTGTAAAGGGTGTTGATATTGTGTTTGATGCAACCAAGCTTGGGGAAATATTGCATATACCATCTGTAGGTATAAATGAGTACAATTGGAGTTTTGATGAGTATTCAAGTCTGCCAGCTCGATTCTCGCAAGGTAGAGTCAATTCCAGGGCTCAAACTTTTTAAAGGGAATAATGTGATCTTTGCATAAGCTTCTTTTTGAGATAGTTCATAAGGTGATACTGCCTAGAGGTCACCAACGTCACATTGCCTCCATACGAGACATGGGACTTATGAGTGCACTTGAGTGCAAAGAGCGCATTGATTGGCCTACATTGATTATTAAACATCTTGCTAGAATTGTGGATCCTCAGTTAGGCTCCCATCAGTTAGCCTTTGGCAACCTATTGACTAGGGTGTTTGATGCTTTTGAAGTACCACTAGGTGAAGGCAGGATCTTAACTCGTGCAGACATGTTCACTCAAACTATCCTTGCTGATTGTGGCATTCCTATGGAGTCAGAGCAGGTTGTAACAGCGTCTCCACGTACATCTGGTCATGTTGCTCAGTTACTTAGGGAGCTTAAAGTAGCTGAAGAAAAGAACGCCTCTCTTGAATCAGACAATCAGAAGTTACGTGCTGAGCTCGATTCCTCAAATGCTGAAATACACAGGTTGAAGGATCAGTTGGTGCAGCAGCAACTTGCTAACAATGCCAGAGTTGATAGAGTTTTGGATATGCTGGCTTCAGCTTCAACTAAGCCTGGTCAGCCTCCACAGTGATAAAGCATGTTGTCTGAACCTGGTTCTCTTAGCTGTTTTCACTCTGTATTGTTGTTCCTTGTTTTGTTGCCAGAACAATTTACATTGCTCACCTGGCTGGGCGTATTTTGTTGCTATGGATATTGATTAGTGTTGATTAGCCGCTGCTTATGTCTTTTTGATTCGTCAAAAGGGGACGAGTTATTTGCGCATGCATCACACGTTACATGTTTGTCTTCATCAAAAAGGGGGAATATGATAGAATCGTTAATTCATTTTGATGATAGACAAAAAGCGCAAAGAACAGTAGAAAATGTACGCAGCGAAAGAAGTCCAAGATCAAGTAGAAAATAGAGTTATTTGTCAAAGTCAAAATAATATATTAAAGCTACAAGTCAATATAAATAAGGAAAACCTTAAATATATTATTAAGGAAGGAAGTTGTGTATAATAAGGATTCTAATTTAAAAAAGAATCCTTGTTTAAACATAACTTTCTTACCTTATTAGTAGGGATTGTACAAGGACAAAACTCTATAAGAAGCACACGAGGCAGAGAAAACATCTACGACTTCACGTAGAGAACAAGAGGGAATTAATCATCAAACTGAGGTCTTCAAGATTGATAGGACTGCCACGGACAAAATGTTCTTGAGTTACAAGGTTTTATCGCGAAGAACTATTTGTCTTGTTTTTGTTCTTAATTGTAGTTTACAGTTTATTGTACAAAGGGTGGGTTTGGCTCTTTGTAGGGTTGAGTGTTAGTAAGAGTTGTAACAAAAGGTGGGTTTGGCCTTTTGGTGAGATTGATTGGAGTCAATCGAGGGAGTAGTAGAGATAAGACTTTTGATTATTGAGTTGTAATCACAAAATCTTATAGTTGAATTAATAAAACGAGGTTTTTCCTTCCTTGAGTGAGGAAGGTTTTTAATTCAATAAGTGTTTGTGTTTCTATTCTGTCTTTACTTAAAAGCAACTTACACGAACCTGGTTCGTGTTCTGGGGTAAGGTTTCTTCATATTGGATTATGAATTAATGAATTGTTGTCGGGAGATATATTGACTCAAATATTTCATGCTTTCTTCTATCATTTTTACTCACAATTAGATTGATCTTTCATCAAACAAAATAAATTTTTTAGCCCAACTTAAACTGGTAATTCTGTAATTGAATTACTATGAGACACATATAGAAGTCTAAAAATTTAAGGGTGCAAATACATAAATTTTTACTTAACAAATATACTTAACGATAAAAATTGTGGCTATGATAATTCTTAACGGATTAACGATTTATCCGATAAAAAAATAGAATTATTTGCTCCCACGCCAACAAACCGTTAATTATAAAATTTTAATTTATTTACCAATAGATAATCTAATAGTACTAATTAATAAATCAATTTTGTGATTAACCTGTTGGTTATAATTTAATTTTGAATGCCAACAAATAAGAACCGAACTCATAGCCTCGTTTAACAGCCAGAGATATTTTGGTACATTCGTAGTCTACGGCAACAGTCAACTAAAGAGCCTGAGATACACACAACCATATTTGTTTATATAAGTATTTTTAAAATATCTTTTTATTTAGTTAATTAAACTTAAGTATACTCCAAATTTTGTTATATCAGTGAAATATATTTTTAAATTTTAGTCTAATTTAGTGGTTTTCTTAACATTAATCTTGACTTTTTGTTAAGAATTTTACGCTCTTTCAAAAATTTGAAACCAGTTATTATGTTATGTCACAGATTAAAAATATATTTAAATTCAATTAGTTAAGTGAAAAAGTGTTTCTTAGCAACGAAACTAACAATTTAAATAAAATATAACGGTAATTTTAATTTTTTTAATACTAATTATTATTTTTATACTTTAGAATAATACTAAAACAAAAATAAAATATAAAAAATCAAATTGTTAACGTATGTAACAGCAATGCTATTATGGAGGAGAGAAGTTTGACTATAGTCTATACAGTAAAATATTCTATATTAAATTTTCCATCTCAAAACAAACAAAAAAGGTGGATTCCTTGGAAGAGGAAATCAACTAAAATAAAAAATTATCTGACAGAAAAACTAGTACCAGTGTACCACCTCGCACCCTACCTACTAATTTCTGACATGCACTCACAGTCATATTTCAACAAACACAATAAACGACTGCTAAAATCAGATATGAATAATCAAATCAATCCTAAAGTGGATGATTTGAAAACCCCAAAAAGGTAAAAGTAATGCATTCCAAGAAATAAATAATACTATAAATAAAACAGATGCTCTGTGTCCTGTCATTGTACTAATAAAAACTCTGCTTAATTAAACATGATTCATTCAGGGGTTCACAAAATTAACAAAGTCCAAAAACAGATCAATGAGTCCCCTCTTTCGTTGGTTTGATTGGAACAAGTTATTTAAAAATTAGTTAGTCTGGATTAGCTATTTTTAAAATAACTTATCTCACACTATATATGAGATAATTTATCTCATTATTATGATATAGATAATAGAATAAATTATTCTAAACATGATAATTAATTTATCACTGTTTTGTTATTCCACCATCATTTATTTTTATCCTTCACAATAAACGACCCCTAAAATTTAAATACAAGATTAACCATGTAACTCATGAATTTAGAATGACTAGTAGTCTACCAAACTAATCCCACAAACTCAATGTTCCTTAACAATTGTATGGTTCTCGTAGAATATATAAGATCCTTTCGTTCCAAGTTAAAAGTTTTAAATTCAAATTTAAGAATGAAAATTTTCTTATGACAAACTTAATCAAAATGTGAGTGCTTCTATATTATATGAACAGTGGTGAAGGTTTTGATAGAATAGTTAACATTCTTTGGAAATTGAAAATGAAAATTATATGATATAAACTCTTCTCATATAATAAAATGTGAGTGTTCTTGCACTATATAAACATCTCTTTGGCGGTAGGATGCCTGGAGGTTTCTACAAAAGGCTCCAATTCTAGCGAAAGAAAGTATTCCATTGGAACTACCGTTGCGAAGATTGAATAAGGAATTGATTTTTCTAGAATTTGCGATGTAAATTTTAATTAATCAAAAGCTTGGAATAATTGTCATTTTGCAAGATAATCAAATCAAAGCCTCTATAGTTGCTTTTTTGACCATGTTACAGAGGGGACATGAATGGAGACAAGTTTCACAATCTTTGCATGAAGAAAGATGTCTACAAGGCAAAAAAACCATGCACGACTTACTAGAATTACACCTTTTGCACATCATCTTTATTGTTTGTTCTTGTTGCGAAGATTGTACTTTGTCCTCAATTGGTTGTACATCGCAGCAAGACTCTGCATCACCTACATTGGTTGATTGAAAACATGCATTTTCTCTTAATTGTTCAATTGTGTTGTTTAAAGAAACAACAACGGCTTCGTTCTCATTCGCGATTCTCTGCCATGTTTGATTCTCCATTTCTATCCTTTTCAAGAAATCTTCCAACTCTTTCGACCTGTTGCAAGCCTTCACAAGTTCTTCGTCTTTTTGTTTCAGTAATAAATGAGTCTTTGATTCGTAATTTCTCAAGATTAATGCCAGTTGTTGCTTCCTCTGTTCTTGCAGAGCCAATCTCAATCTCTCGTTCTATTAAGCAACAAAATCAATTCATTACAACTACAACTCATCTCATTTAAATCGCGTAAATTGAAACGGAAGGAGTAAGTGTTACCTGTAAACTAACGAACTGATCAATCTCTACTCTCTGTTTATCAAATTGGGAAGCCAGATTATGATGAAACACAGTCGAATTTGATGAATTCGAATTCTGAATTTTATTTTTCTGATTCAGAATTTGAAACTGCTGCTGTTGGATTTGTAACAAATACGGTTGTTGTTGTTGCTGCTGCTGTTGCTCCGGGTGAGAATTAACGAAATATTGATTGAATCCACAAGCATTATCATCCATTAAATCATGCAAACTCCCTAACGAAAACCCGAGATTCTCCGAATACAAATGCGCTTGAATAGCCATATTTGTAAACCTCAATAACAAATAAAATCAGGCCAATAGATGTTCCAAAACACGGTGAAATTTTGGTTTTACAAATAACAAGTTGTTTGTTGGTACTATTTTGCTAACATTTGTAGGCCAAACCTGTAACTTGTTTTCTTTTCTTTTGTTGTGTGTATTTATAATAAGTATTCAAATTTTTATGGAAACTGAAAAACTGAAAAGTTGCAGGAAGTAAAGGAAGGGCTATAAATAAAAGGTTTATTAATATTTTTTTTTTCTCTTTCTCTTTCTACTCTTGTGAAGAAGCATTAAAAGAGAAGAAATTTTATAACATACAGATTCTGTGACAAAACTATCGGGTCAGAAAAGCTATTTTGTTTGTTTGTGAACAAATTTTAAAAAAATTGAATTCCATTCCTAATTTGGAGATTTTGAAGGAGTTTTATATTTTTTTCTTCAGTATTTTAGGATTATGGATAGCAGAAACGGAAGGGAAAAAGAAATGGTCAGTTTTATTTTTAAAAATTAAATTTAATTAGAGGAGAATTAATTTTTAGAGGGAATTCAAAGATTTGTTTTGTCAGTTTGTGAATAAAGCTAAAGAATAGGATTTTTTTTACAATTTATTTATTTTATTGCCTTCTTAACTTTCGTAACTTCTATTTTTTTTAAAAATATTACGCGTTTTCTGTCTTCCAAAAGAAACTGACAAATGTTAGAATACGAAGACCAATGAGTTTTCGAGAGAAAAAAAAAATCAATTTAATATGTACCATGTAAAACAATGATTTTAACTATGTGAAATCAATTAAAAATACTCTCAGCTAATATTTTTGTTTTAAAATATCATTTTAATAGTTTGATAAAAATGTTCCTTTCTTTTTCAAATAAATATTACAGGTTTTAAAATAGATTCTTTTTCCTAATATAATTTTTTAACTAGCAAATGATTATTTACTTGAAATCGCAAAAGGACATTTTTAATTCATTAATAGGGCAATTTTGGGCGTTTGCTTGGGATGTGCCTCGATCAGTTCGATTTGATTTTATGTATTGTTAGTTTGGTTTATCGATTTTTTATTTTTAAAGAAGGTAAACTGACAATAAACTATTAGATATTCTTAGGGCAATTTTTGGACCAATTGTTTTTTAATGATGTGTATCGGTCGGTTCGGTTCGATTTTATGCATTATTAGTTTGATTTATCGATTTTTTATTTTTAAAGAAGGTAAACTAACAACAAACCAATAAGATATTCTTTATCGGTTTTTAATTTACCAGTATTAGTCATTAATAGTTTGATTTTCAATTTACCCCATAAGAAAATTCTTATGCTTTTTCATTTCTTCAACAATTTGACACGATACAGCAAGGTAAACAAAACAGATGTAAATGTTTTTGATATAGTGAACAAGAAATATAATGAGAAACTGCATCAGTAAGTGTAGATGTAGTATAAAGGCTATATATAATAACATGTTGCATCTAAAATATAATATGAAATTTTTGACGTGAAGTAGAAGTATTATGATGTGTGAAGTGTCTAAACCGTAATGTAGAGTACTGATATGATGTCTAGTTATGTTACATTATTGATATTTAATATTTATGAGAATATCGCTTTACCCAATAATTCAATACTAAAAACAATACCAAATCAATAACTGTAGAGATATTTTTAGAACAAACTATTGATCGAAGATATTTGTATTTAATTCTGCGTATATTATTCATTTTTGACCCTTTCTGAATTTTTAATAATAAAATTACAATTTTAAAAAGTACATGGGAAAATTATAATCCACTAGTTCAAAAATTGTACTGTTATTTTTATTTTGTGTGTCAAATAATTTCTTCGGTTATGACTTTTTTCAATGACATCAATACAGTAATATATTTATTTATTTATTGTACTTTAAATAGTTTTTTTTTTTTAAACTTATACAGTATGTCCAAATTCGTGAAGAAAAAAAAAACGACACCGATAGAATTAATTTTTTTTAAAATGCATTAAAGATGGTACCCTGAACCTCGTTATTCTTTTGAATATGAGGAAACACTATAAATAAATCATAAAATTTGTGAAGTTTTATAAATAAAAAGTTTGATAAAAAGAATATCAAAGCTAAAAAGAATCATTAGCTTTCCAAATATTACAAACTTATTTTTTTTTTCTTTTCTTGTAAAATAACTGTGAATTTTTTTTTTAAAAAAGAAATTTATATGCCTACAATTACACTGTCATTCTTCAAACTCAAATATTTTTTAGTGAGGTAATTTGTGGGTATAGGTTATGCTAATCACCAAAAGAATTAAAAAAAAGGTAGGATTTTGAAGTACTTAATAGAAGAAAATATAGAAGGTCATTTAAACTTTTGAATTCAATTTTTGGACGTTATTAATCAATGTAGACACATTGATAATATTGAATCACATCAGACATTATTGTCGGTGCAGCATGGTATGATATACCATTCACCGCAAGGGAGGTCAAGTATCGATTTTTCTGTCAACATTTTTTTAATCGAAGTTATTATATTAAAATTATTTTATCCGATTTACATTTCTTATATAACTTGTGAGCTATTGCAATTTGCACATGAGTGTGTTTGTGATTGTTCACAAGTCTTAAAAAATTATCACATCGGATTGTTAAAGAAATTAAATTAATAACCATGGTAACAAATTGGTTGTTATTTCTTAATTTGTTTCTACATTTCTTTTTACTATTTCTTAAGAATTTTATTAGGAAATAAATTCATTGAAATACAAGTACTAGTCAATAGAATAGAAGCAAAAGGAAAGTTATAGATAGTAAGTCATAACGCCAAACTTCACGGGTTTGACGTGAAAAGATTAATGGGAACCTTTCAAAAATAGAACACTTCTATATGTAAATTTGGGATTAAATATCTTAATTTGCAATATAGTTAACTTTCTCCCTTTAATCGTTCTACTTTTTTTTAAAAATTATTTATTTTCCTATTTTATCTATTTGACACATTTACTTCTTATAAAACCGATAATTCGACCTGAGATGCAACATGTTTGATTAAGGATGGCAATGAGGCATAGTCGGATGGAACGATGTGGTGCGGAGCTAAGTAAAGTTTATGGATTTGGACGAATTTTATATTTGTATTAAAAATTAAATAAACATATATGTATATAATATGTAAATCTGTTAATCAAATTGGTTGATAACTCAATGATAAGGAAAGAGCCGTATGTGGCATCTCTCTATGATCTCCATATGTATTTTCTTTCATTGTTTTTTTGGCTTTTCTTTCTTATTTAAATTAATTATTCATTATTTAATTTATTACAATAAGTATTGTATTAATGAAAAAACATTTACAGTAAAAACTCTTCACCTGCCAACTTACAAAGAGTAATTATTCATAATTCATACCTCTCTATTTTTTAGTATTTATAAAAAAAATATTATTTTTAATTTTTTATCTTTCTTCTAATTACAATTACGAAAGAAAACTATTTTAAAAACATTTTAAGTATTTATATTTATTATTTAATTTATATAAAATGTATATTATTATTTAACTGTTTTCTCCCTTTTTCGAGTTTTTTCATTCATGGTTTTCATTCATCAATTTATTAAAAAATTAATAAATACAATCTTATTCATTACATATAATTATATCACATGAAAGTTACAAAAAAACCCTCTATCTATTTGAATTCTCTAATTAAATAAGATGTATTTTCAACTTTCTTCTACTTAATTCTCATCTATAATTAACAATCACCTATGGTGTTGTTGCATGTCCATTTCTATTTTCTCCAACTTCATATTGTTAATATTTTTTTTTTGTTTTTCATCTTTTATGAAGATTATAGATATATTTTTTAGAATTTCTTCTTGTGTTACAATATCCAAGCAAAAGTTTATCAAGATGAAGAAGAAAGTTTAAATGTGGTGTAAGATTCGTCAAAAGAGAGGACAAAAAATTAATTTGCTACAAGTCATCAAAATGAAGAAGAAAGTTTACGGCGCTGAGAGATTCATCAAGAGTTGGTCAGAGTAAAATTTTTAAAAGTAAAATTTAAAAACGTAGAAGTTTCAATCATTTACAAATGTATAAATGCACTTATTGTTGCTTATATAATTTTCAATTATTTATTTATCCATCAAGATATGTACCCTTCAAGAATAAGATAATATTATAAAACACACTTTTTGTATCAAGGACAACATGATCTTCCACGGATTATTTTGTTGCTTAAAAATAACATTTGATACTTTCATTATATAAATTTTTGTCTTTTGGATATAAAATCCATATTCTATATCGATATATATTATGTATAACATGTTAATATGACATAATTTCTCGATCAAGAATATTTCATCATCTTTTGTTTTGCTTTATCCGCTTCTTTTCATTCTAATTTAGATAAATAACACATTTCTTTCTTTTGTGGATTTTGAATTGACTAAAAAGGAGATGAGATCTCCTCCATTAAGTCTTTATTTTGTATTTGTTAACACTTGTTAGAATTAGTCTATATATATGATTGTGGGACTCAAATTTCACAAAATATTGAATTCTTCTAATTTGATGAAATTTCTCAGAATGAACCAAGTTTGTTATGCCAATATCCAATTAAAATAAACATATTTTCTTAAGTTATAGATAAAATTGATATTTTTTTTAAGTTGATTATGAAATTGAAAAATAAGTTTACTCTCTTCATTTATTAATTTATTTGGTAACTAAAAAAAATTATAATATTTATTACAACTAATTACATCTCATAAATTACAAAAATCTTTGTTTATTCACTTTTTCTACTTAAATGACATATCTCCTCAACTCCTTTCTACGATTTTATTCATTACCTCTAATTTAGTTTTCCCAAAATATAATGGATTTAGATTTTAGTCTATCATTTGCACATCAACTATTCAAGATTTGCACGTATAACATTTTCATGGAAGCATATATTTTTTTCTTTATTTGTGGTTTTAAACTTTTGGTAACAAGACATACTATAATTTTGTTTAAAATTAATAAGGAAATATTACTATGTTGCTTTTTTCTTTTTATTAGCGGATTGATCCATCTCACAACTTGCAATTCTTTTCATCTATTTATATTTTTTCGCTAAATAAACATGTCTCCTCAATATTTTTTTTACTTAATTCTTTATCTCTCCTTTGAAGACTTTTCAATTTTCTTTCATTTACATCATACATTAAATTTACTCAAAATTAAGTCATTTATCTATTTCATAATTGAGCGCTCTAAGTAAATTTTATTTAAAAATAAATGATTTATTTTCCTGATGACGTTATGTACATATTTTGTATTTAATAATTTATTTCTCTTATAATTATTTAACATTGTAGATGAGGGCGAAAATGGAAGACTTTTTCAACATCTCTCTTAAACTTGGAACAATTTTCACTTATTTTAAACTATGAAAAAAGGCTCAACAATTTAACTTAAA